ACTTTAATACTCTCACTTCTTAGATAAAACTCATTATGACACCCAATCTCTGCATTGACCTACCTTCTTAGTGTAAGTAAAGGAAGATACAACGTATCTTGGAAAGTATAGAAGGTTTGTCCTAAAAACATTTTGTAAAGCTAGAAGTTTGGGGTGATTAACAAGAAATACTAGGTAAAGTGAGTAGAAAAATTAAGAATCAGTACCTATGTGATCCCAGACTTGCTATGGGAAGGAGGTGGTCTGATTCACCTCCTACCTTCTTAGCACTCTGAAACTTAATACAAGTCTCCCTGTCCTAATCCCTCCTCAAATCATCTAACATAAGCCCCAATGCTAAAAGACCCCTTTAACAACTCCCTCCTGAAATGCTCCTGGGGTTTCCCCAAAGTGAGACCACTCTTTCTGGAACAATATAAATAAAACTTTTTTTTTTTTTTCACTTCAGATGTGTTCCTGGCAGTCTCTGATCCATTCGTTTGACAAGTAATTTAAAAAATTTTTTAAAACCACTGACCTCTGAGCTAGATCTAGGCTATGAACATCTACCTTTTCATCTCAGTTAAGGTGTGATGGTTAATTTTATGTATCAACTTGACTGGGCCATGAGGTGGCCAGATATTTGGTTGAACTTTATTCTGGGTGTGTCTGTGAGGCTGTTTCTGCATGCAGTGAACGTTTACAGTGGACCGAGTAAAGCAGACAGCCCTCCCTTACATGAATGGGCCTCATCCAGTTAGTTGAAGGTTTGAATAGAACGAGAAAGTTGAGTATGGGGGAACTCCTTCTGACTAACTGCCTTCAAGCTGGGACACTGGTTTCCTCCTGTTTTTAGACTTGAACTAAAACATTGGCTCTTCCTGGGTTTTGAGACTGTTGGGTTTCAGACGGAACTATGTCATTGGCTCTCTTGGCCCGCCAGCTTAATTGTGTGAGCCAATTTTCTACAATAAATCTCAATCTTTTTTTCTCTCTCTCTCTCTGTCTGTCTCTCTCTCTCTACACATATATATATATATATATATGTATATATGTATCTATAATTTAAAATATTTTAATTTAATATGTTCATCAAATTTTAAAATATTCATATATATTTACATACTTCTGACATATATGACATCTATATGTCTACATTTATCTCTCTATAGCTATATCTCCCTATATGTCTACGTCCTATCAGTTCTGTTTCTCTAGAGAACTATGGCTAACACAGAAGCGAAAGGGTGATGTAACATCAATGAGCAGATTTTCCCATTTTCTTACATCATCTTGTGTTTTCTTTCTCAGTAGATTAAAGAGGGGTGGAAAATTACAAAATCCAGTGCATGCCACTTAAAGGTTGTGATTATTTTTATTCGTGCCAGGAGGAAGGACTTTGTTCTCCTTGATTTGAGCAAATCCATTATCAGACTTTTCAATTTCAGGGATTCCAAATTTAGGTCCACTTGGGGCTTGGATGACTGCTATGTCTGAGAGGGCTTCTTTCTTTGCAGTTTCTTAAAATGCAAGAACAGAAATCAGGAAACATTAGAGAGCCTAACAAAATGCTTCAGATATTTATATAGGTAACTAAGATGCTGTTGCTTTTCTTGACTAGAATTTCATTATAGCTTCATTAGGCAAAGAGACTCTATTCCTAATAGTGCATCTGATCGTCAGAAATGCAATTAGCAAATCAAAAAATGTATGAAAGACAAATAAATGGCTTCCCAGGCTGAGAAGAGCCTAACAGATTTAACTGTGGGTGATTTTGGAGGCCTGGATAGTGACTTCCCTGAATCCCTAAGCCTAACTTTTCTCTGATTTACCAGAAGTGAGAAACAAATGCATACCCAGACAGCTCCTCTGAACAGCAGGCACCCAAGCCTAAACCCAGATGGTTCGTCACTATGAATGACTGTTCTCATGCTTGTTCAGTAAAAAGATAGAACAAGAGGCCCATGATATGATCAGCTGCACATCAACTCAGACATGCTTCTACATAGGATAACAGGAAGGTGAGGGAGTTGTCCTTCTGACTCTTCCATCTATGGTTGCCAATGTGCACTAAGGGATGCTTGCTAGAATGGAGCCGAGCTAAAGTAGAGTGTGTCTTGCTGGAGACAGGTCCTAGTCTGCCCTGAGGGTCTTTTAGCTAAAAGCATTACTGCCCCTCCTTGGCCTTATCTATCCTTTTGACCATCATTCTTGCCTCTCAATTGCCATTTTGACCCCAGACACAGTCACATTCTTCTGCCTCCTCAACTTGTCTAGGCATCGTACCCTCTACCTCTAAACCTCACATTTGCCTCCTGCACTACACACTGCCTTCTCCATCAATTCAGTTACTGCTTCCCAAAATAAGAATATTTGACCTTCTTCTCTTTTCCACAACCTCTGATTTTACTTGGCAACCAGCCACGGTTTGTTAGAATTTGGTCACGAACAGGTATTGACACAAAAATTCAACTTCAGGGAACTAAAAATGTTTTAGATGGCAAGGAATCTAGAAGTTGAGAATCAGTCCAGAGCTGATGAAACTGCTCAAGGAAGTCATCTGGAACCAGATTCCTTCTAGTTGCTTCTCCTCCCTCATCCTTGGCAAGTGGCTTCTGTTTTAATGATCCCCAGGATGACTACTCTGCAACCATGCAAATTTTAATTCCAGAACAGAAAAAAGAAGAAGGGAAAGAAGAGAGAAAGGATGAAGGACAGGTAAATGAAGCAAATGCTACCTGGCTACCTGGCTGCACGTACTAATAATGCACTTATCCTGCTCCTTTGCAAGCATTATTTAGTATTTAATTAGGAGCAATACTAACCCCTACTCAGAAAGGAGAACAATGGAAGTCACACAGGAGAGACAGTGCCAAAGTCAACACCAAACATTGCCAGGCAGGAAAACTCAGGACTCCCGTGCTCTGTCAGAGGTGCTGTTCTCGGGTACCTATTCTGGCATCCTCCCGTCCTGCTTCTGGAGAGATTCTTCCTTGTCTGTTTTCATCCATGGCCACCTATGAAATGGGTGTCATAGAAGATCACTTCCTTTGAAGCCACAGATATTTTTGAGCCATTTCCTATTGGTCTTAATTTGAGGTAAGGAATAACCTTAGAAGTTTAGCAATGACAGGCTCTTATTAGCCTCCGGCAATACAATTCCCTCAAAAGGTTACAGAATTTCCAGTGTTGGAATAATTTCTCAATTAATTCCATATACAAGTAACCACAGACAAAGATTTCACTTAAACATGGTATTTAGCTGGAAAATTCCTTTCCTTTATCTTCTTCTGATATGGTTTGGCTGTGTCTTCACCCAAATGTCATCTTATATTGTAGCTCCCATAATCCCCACGTGTTGTGGGAGGGACCCGGTGGGAGGTAATTGAATCATGGGGGCAGGTTTTCCCTTGTTGTTCTCAGGACAGTGAATAAGTCTCATGAGATCTGATGGTTTTATAAAGGGGAGTTCCCCTGCACATGCTCTCTTTCCTGCCGCCATTTAAGATGTGACTTTGCTTCTCCTTTGCCTTCTGCCATGATTGTGAGGCCTTCCCAGTCATGTAGAAGTGTGTGAGTCCATTAAGTCTCCTTTTCTTTATAAATTACCCAGTCCTGGATATGTCTTTATTAGAAGCATGAGAACAAACTAATACACCTGCTGATCTCTGGGCTTTTCCCAGTCCTCTATTCCATAGCTTAATGGCCAATGCCTTGAGGTCATTCAAAATAATGATGGCGAGATAGCAAGTGTAATACCAATGTGCATTTGTCTGAAGAAATCCTCAGAGCCTGGATGGAAAAGTCTTAAGTTACCAATCTATGAAGGCTGCAGACTTCCTGTCACTGTCCCTGCCTGCTCAGTTTAGTAGGAATAAATTTCTTTTTAAAACTCAGCAGTATTGACAAATATAGGATTGTCAGTGAATTTAGAATGCAAGCCACAGATAAGGCATTGATCTCTCATTTCCACTTGCAGACTGGCTAACTTGGATCTAAGTACAGACCACTCCTTCAGAAAAAAAAAAAAAATCTATAGCCATATGCCAGGGTTCTGAATTTTTTCCACTCTTTATCCTAATAGCAAAGCTGCCACGGCACATGGTCTGTATCCCAAAGAACAGCGGGTGACAATCTGACCAAATGTTCGGCCACCACGTAAGAAGAGTCACCAGATTTGCAGCCTGAAATACCTGAGACCTCACTATCCAAAGCCCTGCCTCTTCCACTCAGCCAATTCCACATTTTAGAATCTTACTTGCTGTATCCCCTTTCAGGTAGAAAGTCTATTTCAGGTATAATGCATTCAGCTGCAGCTACTAAGTAAATCTGCCGGAATACAGCCCCCTGTAACCCAGCTCACAGAAATGGTGTTTGAATGCAGGTTTGCCACTGATAATGCTGTCATTTCTTACACTCCAATCATGACACCCTCCATGAAGAATAGCTTAGGTACGTGATCTAATGTATTCCTCACAATATTGATATGGGATATGAATATGATAATATATGGGTATATGATATGATAACATAAGATATGGGTATATTATCATCCCCATTTTACAGATGAGTAAACTGAGGCTCAGAGCCTAGGTACTTTGCTCAGGTTCTCACATTTGCTAAGTTGTGGAGCTGAGATTTGAACCTAAATCTGAGTGACACAGAAGTTGGTCCTTTGTATTATTTAATCACTTGAATCATTTAATCTATTATTGAGGTAAAAGTGCACCACAGAGGACCAAAAGGAGAACTACAGTACAAGTCCGGGTGCCTGTAGCCATGGCACTGCTGTGGCGTAGTGGTTCCAATGTGGCAACCAGAGGTGTCCTTCTGGTTGTCTTGGTATGGAGCCACAGCTCCAGCACTGAGTCACAGTCACATGCAGAGGCCACCAAGGAACATGTGATATTTCAGATCTGAGTCGATGGTTTAACATGTAAACATTATCAGAAAACAATGAGTCAGGCTCTCCCAAGCCATATGCTTCATCTCAGAGCCAAGGCTGTGTCATCACTGCCAAATGCTCCTTCAGGCCACTAAATCACCACAGTAAGATCAGAGCTTCAGGACCTAAGTAGTGCCTGGGGATCTGAAAGAGACGACCGACTAAGGTGGTTGATGGGATTCTTACAGGTAAGTCCAATGGGATTTTTCACTTGTATCATCCTGGGGTGCCTTGGTGGAGGCTGAGAGACCAGGTCCTCTAAAATTGTGACAGCTGCTCTCTTTGGAAATGAGGCACTCTCTCGGTTTAAATATTTTGTTCCTGTTTTCCCCCTACAATTCCCTTCAGTTAAAAGATGATGTATGGCATTCATTGGATAAATGAAGTTGATGCATTGTGAGCATTTGGTGACCTCTGACACCCTGAGGGGTCCAAGCTGGGCTGGAAGTCTGCAGGGAGGCATACCTTTATTCAGGGCTGAGTCGTGCTGGTCGCAAGGGCCCTGGAACCGAGTGTGTTGAAGACACAGACACCTGAGCGGCCCTAGCCCTGCAGACACCTGGACTTGCTGGTGTATTTTTCAGAGGAGGAGCTAGGCAGGGTTGCTTCCTTCCAGATGAAGTAAAAGCATGAAAAAGAAGGAAGGGAAGTGTCTACTTCTGGACACTAGCGATAAAATTGGTTTGAGGGTATTGCTACTCGGAAATACCAAGACATCCAGGCACCTGCTCTCACCTGCTGTGCCCCGTGTCTTCTGTGTTTTGCAGACAGAGCAGCAGCTTTATCTGAATCTAGCCATGTCAAGTGATTAGATCATATATTTAGTTTTTGTCTCATCAATTGATGATACACTTGAAGAAGGCAAAGGGGGGTGTGTGTGTGCGCGCATGTGTGTGCGCGTGCACGTACATGGTGTGTTTATTTCCTACAGTCTCTAGGACAGCAACAGCGGCTTTGCCATTTCATTTGTTGAAGTGCCCTGAAATATGATATATGGAAAAGTGGAAGAGATCCATAATAACATTTCACTTTTGAGGTGATTTATGCGTTACAACACTAGATTGCAGAGTGGGCTAGAATTAGAAATGGATAGATTTTTGGGTAAAATACATATCTTGAACAGAGTTTTTATGCTGTATATATACACAAAGAGATATCTACAGAAAAAGACAGATAATAGATGCAAATAGATAAAATTATGTATTAGTAACATTTACCACAAGTATGTTTATCTATTTCACACACAAAAATGAACGCAATCACAGAAAATAGGAGAGACGTTAAGAAAATACAATATCATCTAAAAGCTGTCCCCTTTGTTGAAGGAAGTGGAAAAGTACGGCTCCTTTTTCTTCACAGTGTGCCCTTGAGGAATGAAAATGAATTTCTCCTTGTCTTCCTCTATTTGATACAATGCACTGCCTTCATTCTCTGTGATACAGATTTTATATTCATAGGATTCATAGAATCTTCAATTTCAATGCTGTTATCTTTTCACCTTGTAGAGCTAATACGAATTAATACTATATCCCAGGTATAACTGGACCTCTCTCTATACCTTCTTCCCTAAAGAGGCGTGTGTCCTTTATGAATATTTAAAGGATTGAATCATATTTTTTAATACTTAAGAAGATCTTGTCTCAGAGTATTCATTTATGAATCTTTTGGAAAATGAATGATTAGTTATTGACTTATTACTTAAATATGGATTTGTATGTACTGGGTTTATTTGTAAATCTTTCAGATATGTAACATAGTCCTGCAAGTTGAAATCCCAGTAGTGATTTTACAAGATCAGGATGACCACAAAAAGTCACCAAGAGTGAAAGGTGACTCCAAGCAATAATGTATGTAGACATGTACATATTTCCAAAGTCTTATTTCACCTATTCCTTAATACCAGTGCAACAAGGAGAGGTGGTTAATGCCCCTTTCATAGTCAGTTAATTCTGCAGGACCATGCTATAGGTTAAATAATTAGAAAATGCCTTTAACTAGAGTCCAGTGACAAAGTTCCCACTGGCGTGAGGTTACCACTGGCTTTGAGCTCTTTGAGCTCAGAGGGTATGCCTGCCAATGTTCTTATTTCTTTTCTTTCTTTCTTTTTTTTTTTTTTTTGAGATGGGTTTTTCTCTGTTGCTCAGTCTGGTCTTGAACTCCTGAGCTCAAGCAATCCTCTTGCCTCACTCAGCCTCACAGGTAGCTGGGACTATAATGCGTGTCACCATCCCTGGCTCATGTTCATAGTTCAATCCCAGCGTGGTGATTTAAATGTTATGGGTGCTCATTAAATGTATTTTTCATTTATATTTAATAAATATAAACAAGATTCATCATTTAAATAAGAGGGAAACTAGCATCAAAGCAATACGCCTGGCTATTCAAGAGAGAAAAATCTCTTATTTCACTCTCTGAATTCTAAGCTGGAGGAAAGGGAACCGGTACCATCGAAAGAGGACAAGAGAGAAAATTCTCAGATTTATTTGGAAAGCGATTCTATTCATCTTGCCTCAGATTCGTTAAGTGAAACTAGTTAAGTGAAAAGAGAAGGAAAGCAGTGACTACAAGAGAATCAATCAGCAGATACTGGAAAACTTTCACGTAACTAATGGCATCTGCTTAGAAAATATGAATTGGACCCAAAGTGGTATTCTTTTTGGTCACTTATATTGGAATTTAAATGCGTAACTAAAAATGAAATCTTTAGAGAAAATTTCATTTCTTAAGCTGAAATCTTTCCACAAGTTGGAGAAAAGAGAGATGTACATCCAGGAAATCAAACTTAAAAGACAGGCTGAGGTTATACATTGAGATTCCCCAGTCAGAGGCCACACTTTTCTTTCCTAATTACTGTTCTTTTCCTTGGGTCCTACATTCATCACGACATTAATTCTAGGCTTCACTTACAGTCAGCTCTTCTCTGTGGCCCATCTCAGCATAATGAACTTTTGCCATTATCTTGATCTTGTTAAATTCTCTCTAACCTTAACCTAATGAGATACAGTGAATGTGCAACCATAAATCAGACATTCAGACAATCTCAGTCTGTTCTCAGTGCAGCAACCCTTTTAACTTACATCCATCACTCTTTTGCTCAAGCACACTCAGTGGCTCCCTATTTTAGTAAAGTAAAAGGAAAAGCCCTTTCAATGGCCTTCACAAGCCGGTGTCTCTGTATTACTCCCTGTCCCTCCCCCTAGCACACATGGCTCACTCTCCACACCAATGTCCTTGGGAAGTCTTCCACCAAGTCTTTGTTCAAATGACATCTTCTCAATCACCACTCTGTTTAGAAATAGAATCACCTCCTAACCCATACCCTTCTCTGCTCCAGTTCTTCTCTCCAGTCCATTTATCACCTTTCAATATACTATACAATTTTCTTTTTTATTATTGTGTTTATTGCTTATTTTCTATTCCTCACACACTAGAATGTGAGCTTTGCAGGCATAGGGATTTCTGCCACGTTTTTCACTGATGTATTCCAAGTGCTTAGAACAATGCCTGACATATAGTTAATAGTTACTCAATAGATACTTGTTGAGTGAATGAATGAGGAAAGGAAAGAATATGCCCAATATTCATTATCATTTATTAAGTGGTAACAAAAATAACGTGAAACGTAAGTTTAATTATATTTGCTTCTCTATACTTTGGACCACATGTCTGTATATTAGAATTAAGCGTTCTAATGAGGCACTGAGATAGAGAGGGAAGAAATAGGCTTGGGAATCAACTACGGTGATGTTCAAATTGTAGTTCTGCCCCTTGCTAGCTACGGAAGAGTTAAGTCAATTTCTGTGAGCTTCAGTTATCTCCTTTGTGAAACGGCGGTGTTACAAGTATTCAATGGAAAACAAGCACAGCTTTTGGTGCAACGATAACTGTGAGTTTGTCCTTTTGTCTCTCAGCCCTTGTCAGGCTCCAATTTGCAAAGCTCCAGAGTGGATCCCCAAGTTCTCTATCAGGAAATTGTGCAGGAGACTGGGGGAAAGGTGAGGAGGCAGCTATCAAATATTTTCTAGTTCTTTGTTGGAGGCCCTGGCCAGTGGGCATACTTGAGAATGAGGATAAACGAAAAGAGTGCCTCTTACCCGTGATAATGGTGGCTGGAATCAGAGACCAGGCATGGACAAGAAGCCAGTAGAGAGCGCTGGAAAGTGAGAACCATGGACACCTGAGTAAACCTATCATCAAAACAAAAACAGCCTGAACCTGGAGTCTAAAGCCAAGTACTAAATCAAAGGATTAGAAAGATAAAGAGATCAAGCACAAGAAGGTTGGAAATGGCTAGAGGGAACATGGACTTGGTGAAGGCCATTGCCAGTGGCCAAGTGGCTATGTCCTGTGGCTGGACTGAAAGAATAGGATGCCATAAGGTGCTTCTGGAAGTCCCCTAAAAGTCCTGCACAGAGGCCGGGCGTGGTGACTCACGCCTGTAATCCCAGCACTTTGGAAGGCCAAGGCGGACGGATCACCTAAGGCCAGGAATTCGAGACCAGCCTGGCCAACATGGTGAAATCCTGTCTCTACTAACAATATGAAAATTAGCTGGGCACAGTGGCATGCACCTATAATCCCAGCCACTCGGGAGGCTGAGGCAGGAGAATCGCTTGAACCTTGGAGGCGGAGGTTGCAATGAGCTGAGATTGCACCACTGCATTCCAGCCTGGGAGACAGAGTGAGACTCCATCTCAAAAAAAAAAAAAAAAAGTCCTGCGCAGAATGAACAGAAGCCGCTGTTGTCATGCCAGGGCCTTCTCTGGACGCCTGGGGACTTTTGCCTTGACTTACACTCTTCTGATAATTCTAAAGGAGGTTTCAGCCTGGGGAAATTGTGGGGGGCAGGGGAAGAGGGAGGACTGGGGAATATCATTTCTCTTCCTCGAATCAGAGGGTGTATTACTTCATACTCTGAAGCCAGAATAAAAATTGAAGTGAAAAAATGTGTTAGCGTAAGTTTAGGCCGGTGCTTCACTATTTACTTGAACACAATGAACAATCAACAGCAAGTCAGTAAATGAGTGTTTATTGAGCAAATGCTCTCAAGATGCACAGCCATGCCGCCCACCTTTCATGCAAACAGCAGCACCAGCTTTGACCTCTCATCTTCCCCATAAGGATTGGTTTTGATTGAGAAATTCTCTCAAATTTTTAACAAACCAGTGGGATACGTGGACTGCTACTA